ATTTCATCGAATAGAGATTGATTATGTTGGCCCACTGACTCGAACTGTGAGAGACAATAAATACATAATCATCATCATCGATTATAGTACTCTGTGATATCCTGAGTATGCAAGGCTTCTTCTATTGTTGAATTGGCTTCTTCTATTAATTTTCCAAGGTAATATGCGTAGATTAGAGCCTTCTTTTATTGGCGTCATCGATTTCGGGTTAGTAAGAGTCTTTGATAAATCAATTGGATCTTTTTATCTAGATCGTCAATGTGTTGGTAAGGTTTAGGATCAACTACAACGTTTGGTAGATTTACAGATATAAACTTTAGTAGGATGGCTTCGGCGAAGGTTTTTATTCTGATAAGATGAGTAGTTCTTCATTCTTTCATGGTCTTTTTATAAATTCTAAATAGTTTCACTACTCCATATATAATATTGCTTCAACAGCAACGTATTAATAGGGGTATCTAGGATTTGTCCTTCAGTCATTTATAACTTATACACATCCTGTACAATTCTTGCATATATGAAGTATGGTTCTTTCCACTTAAGTAAGAATTTTTCTGCCAGATTCTTACTTACAGCCATGTCATATAACAATACCATATCATTGATTTGGAATAGCTGCTCAACTTTTTTATGCTTCTTGTTCTAATAGAAATGTTATCTAATCTGGGCTTTAATAATAGCAGATTTGGCCTTTTCTTGAACCGTTAGTAACTCCTCCACAATATTGTAAAGTCACGTTAATACGTTCTCTTCAAAGATCTCTTGCTAGAGTATAGGCAAATAGGCTTCTCGGCTATACGTTAGCATAAATAGGGTAAGTTTAGTGGTTGCTTGTTTAGCAGTCCTATAAGCAAACAAAACTGCAGGTATTAACATATCCCATAGCATCGAGTTTTGCTAACGATTCATATAGAGTTCGATTGAATCATTCGACTAGCCCATTCGTTTGAGGGTGATATAGCATGGATAGTAAACGATTAATTTAAAACCTTTCGGCTAGTCTTTTTACTAACTCATTTTTAAAATGCATCCCACGGTCTGTAAGTATATACTTAGAGCTTCTATATCAACAAATGATTTCATTATAGATGAAATCAACAGTGGTTTTTGCATTAGCTGTGGGCACAGCTTTTGCCTCTGGCCACTTAGTCAAATAATCGGTGATGATGATTATGTATTTATTGTCTCTCACAGTTCGAGTCAGTGGGCCAACATAATCAATCTCTATTCGATGAAAT